CGAAACTTCGGAGTTTAGTTTTTGAGGTATATACCTAATAATAGGTCGAAAATCCAGTAAACTCCGGATACATACTGAAGGAAAACGATTGGACACGAATCCTTTTAGGCCTTTTACTACCTCAATATACTCAACTAAATGAGATATAAATGAATGAAAACGGGACAATACATCTGAGAAGGTTTCCTCGTAAGTACATTTGCACTAAAGTACCAGTGCTTAGTACGACTGTACTAAAGTAAAACGTACTAAAGTCCTAGTACTAAGTATACTGTTTCAGTACTTTGTATATGTACGTGTACAACATAAATGTACTGAGTAGTGTAGGTTTTTAAGTAAAAAGTACGAAAATACTTAAGTACTGTACTAAGCATCCAATCACTGGTACAAATGATCGAATCTCATGAATACAATCACTATGATTGTTATGAAGAGAGAGTGTTGGTGTTGGTGAGTATTATATTCATTCCACAACCACGTCTACCCACACCTAAATCCATACCCAAATCCACACACCCGCAAACTCACACTCCTTTTTCACAGTTTGGAACTCGCGGATTTTCGTTGTACTCTTGAGACTTGAATGATTTTCATTAGATTCTTATAAATATATAATCCCAAAAATCGACAGTTTCCCGCTTGGTTTCAGTCAATACATAACTATTTTTGCATACTTTTTGAATACGTGCAGCGATCAACCTTTTATGGTACTTGTTCATTCAAAAACGATACGGTGACAATATAGTTGGATTTATCATTAAAGATAGACCATTCTATTCAATCGACACGCCCGAACTCTCGCGTATTGCGTCATTTTATTTTCCTGCTAACTGCGTTGTGCATTTTCAAGGCATTGCTTATGATCAATATTCAATCGCCGAATTGGGCCAGACGCAGCCTGGACTCCAGTGGCTCACATTTCCATTGCCTCATGAAATAGATAGAACTGATTATCCAGAACCATGGCAACCGTCTATTGCGAGAAACACAAATTTTCCACTAAAACCATCTCCATCCACAAAAAGTACACTAGCTTTTGTCGACCAAATTTACGTAATCACGGACCAAAAGTTTACCGATCGACATGAACATTTGAAAAGTGTTTTTCATCGCCATGGAATTCCTGTTGATTCCATCAAGTGGCAATTCGCCTGGAACCGTGCCACTTGTAATATTAGTAAAAACCGACGAGAAGTGCGACGAAGATTGAATCTACAGCCAGGTAAGAAAGAAATCTCGAGTAAAACCACTTCATGCTTTTGAAAAAACAGTTCGAAGACGGTGAGGATACCTATCAAACAACTGTATTCTTTTCAACTATTTCGTCACCTATATTTTTATTTTAAACAAAAATGTATCTCATGAACTCTCATTATCCAATCACTTTGAGGATGGATCAAGAGAGAAAAAACGATCTGTAATCTTATGATTTAAAATCATTTAATTTTGATTTTCAGATGATTTAAATCAGTTTAAATCATCACGATTCAGTTTTTATATGGTTCAACGTGATTTAATATAATTTCAATTTTAGACAATTTAAGTCAGTTTTTCCTTCCATTAGCGTGGGTGCGTGAGACTGTGAGCGCGGGTGAGGATGTGGGTATTGCTGTAGTTGTATGAAAGAGATAATACTTCCATCTATACTCACGCATTACTACACTCGTACCCCCACCACATCCAAAAGCTTACCCACATCCTCAACGACACTCACACTCCCACCAAACCCATATCCTAAGAGTCAGTGTGCGTGTGTGTAGGTGGATGTGAGTGTCAGTGTCAGTAGAGACAAGATAATCACCCACACACACACACTCGCCCCTCCTTCTTCTAGCCAAACGCACAGATCCACACCCATCCAAACACCCACACTCTCACGATGGGTGCAAAAAAATTTGACGACGTGGTTTTGCCGAGAGATCTACTACTGTCAGAACTTTTATAAAGTATCAATGTTCGATGAAACTATGAGTGGTTCTTTTTTTCTCCTCTTGGATCCTAGCATTTCTGGGTCATATAATTCCATTCGTCTATAATAGGATTTTCTGTGCCAATTAATCAGTGTCCTATCATCATGAAACATTTAGAAGCTTGGCATGATATTGTAATACGTAAACTTTTTCTTGCACTGATTCTCGAAGATGATCCCCTCTTTGTGCCATTTTTCAAGGAGAAATTCAATCGGGTAATTTATACAGCGATTCGTACCGGCGCTCTTCGTATAAACAAAACTTGCCATAATCGACCAGCAAAATCTATTGCCAACAATGAATGGATTCAACAAGAACCTATGTTGGTTATCGGCGCCTGTTTCGATATGCACGATAAACGATCGTTTCAGGTGTCTAATCGCAGTGCTCCTCCCATTTTGTCACCTCAAAAACAAGATCCCTCACGCTGTGCACATGCTTATTTACTGACAAAATGTAGCGCTCAAGCGTTAATAAAACAAATATCATTAAACCGTGTTCAAGTTTATACACCTGATTTCTTACAGAATACTCTTATCAAAACATCTAGAATATTGCAATCGTTTTGGTTGGATCCTCCGCTTGTGTATCAAGGTAATCGGGTCGACAGAGACCTTGATCAAATTCCAACATTTAAAGAAACAAAATACAATTTGCCTCTGTAGTTTATGTCGCTACTTTAGAAGAAATCTTCACAGCCCGGACAGACAAAACTTTTCAAATTACGCGTATAAGGGCATTAAAATTTCGAATTATGGCGATTTTACGATACCCAAACGTGAATACACTATTTCTACTAACTTTTACTTTATTTTTACATGCATTACTAAATCACGTTTTTCTCCATGAAGAATGTGAGTGTGGGTGTGAGTAGGATATGGGTGTGGGTGTGGGTGTGTGGGGATATGGGTGTGCGTGCGGGTGTGAGTGGGATATGGGTGTAGGTGTGGGTGTGAGTGGGATATCGGTGTGGGTGTGGGTGTGGATGTGGGTGAGAGGGGATATGGGTGTGGGTGCGGGTGTGAGTGGGATATAGGTGAGGTTGAGAATGGAATA